GGCACATAATTAAACAATAACATTAACTTAATTTGGAATATTCTCTGGTGTGTCTAAAATAATATTTTTAAGGATTATGAAAATATTTTTATTGGAAAATAATTTCATTGTGATGTTTTAGGAAGGCAAGCATCTTCTGTTTACTGTGTTACATGGATGCTTTTGTTCCTTTTGAAAATGTAGCCATTTTAAAAGGTTTTAATATATTTATTGTGATAGCTGAGTATCTTCTGTACTGTACACTCATATAGTATAAATAGAATATGCTTGTAAAACATAGATTGATAAAACTATTGTTTACTGTATCTACACTCACCGTATTATTTTTTTTTGCTCTTGACATTAACGGATTTATTTGTGTTAAAATTCTTATTCATTTCATTTTGCTGTAAACCTTTAAACTCTGTAGAAATGTCAGTGATTTGAGGATCATACAAGATAACTAACCAGTTTACTACCTTTTAGACAGCTTTGTATTAAGGATTATTCTAAATTTTTATATCAACAGGTATATGAAAATTTAGAAACATCCTGATATCTCAAAGAACTCAGAGTATTGCTAAAATCTTAAAAGACTATTAAAACTGAAAGATAAAGAGAGGTGGAAGAAGTAAATTTGAAAATTATTTCTGCTTTTCTATTTCCATCCACATTTACTGAATAAATAAATTTTAATTGCTAACCTCTAGAGCCTAGATTACTCTCTTGCTTGAAGGAATCGTATTATAACATTGGATGCATAATAGGGTAAAAAATAGCACTGGGTTGGAAAAAAACATAAAATGAAGTGCTGAATGTTTTAAAAGTAATATATATTGACTCACATCCCATTTTGTGTCAGTGAAAGTTTATCTTCCCTTGCCTGTCTGAGTTTTAGTAGCTACTCATTTTATGAGATTAGATGGAATACGTTGGAAGCAGGAGTGGCATCCACTTCCATAACAGCTTGCCTCTGGAAACCCTATGAACCTGGAGAACTGATTAAAGGTACACAAGTGTCCAGGTCTTTCATTCATAGGGTCACTATGAGTCACCTATGGCTGGACAGCACTCAACACCTTAACTTGGCTCCACAGTCAACACTCTTGGTAACAGCAGCCAGGAAATCCAGAGACAAATTGCATTGGGAAAGTCAGCTGTGAGGGACCTCTCAAGAGTACTGAAGAGCAAAGATGTCAGACTGGAGACTAAGGTGTGCCTGATCCAGGCTATAGTCTTCACAATTACATGCTATGCATCAGAGACTTGGACAGTGAATAGGGATGAAAGAGAAGTGATGCCTTTGAGCTGTGGTGCTGGAGAAGAGTGTTGAA